ATACAAGGGATAAAAGTTCATCTACAAATTAATTCCTTTATAGTAGCTGCGTTGACCCTGGATGAAAATAGATATGTAACTGGGAAATTATTTTCTTAGAGCACTTGTATTAGTTGTTTGTGAAGTTGGTTTGAAAAATATGTATGAAAAATGTGTATCTTCCGAACTAACAGATATTCACCTTCTCAATAACTTTCCCCCCTTTTAAAATCAGACAATTTAAGCAAAGTTTCCCTATATTTATTGTGCAGCTATGACTTTACACTTGTCCTATAAGAATGCAGGTGATACTTCTTCTAACTGAAGGTCTAGAAACAAATGGAACATGAAAATGGTGAAAAATAAGGAAATGGAGTGACCAAAATGGTATATAATGTAACAATGCGGTTAAAAAATTAGTACTTACTATAAATTAAGTAGTAAGAGAAAGAGTGTGGTCTTTGCTAAACATACATATAACATTTCCTGGACTTTTAATATAAAAGTAGTTCACATTCTACAATATATATACAATCATCTTGGGATTGTATTTGCACATTACTGGTTCCTTGTAAAGAGTCCCTCAGATTTTCACAGCTGATCCTTTTTTTGTTCATAAACTGAGTGTGTGTTAATCATGATTAACTGCTACCAATTTTACTACTGTTAACTAACTAGAATAGCTATGCCTTAACACTTAATGTATGTTGTCATTCAGTCAGGATGGTGAAAGGCCTGATATTTTCAACATTTTCAAAGCATGCCTTCTATCAGGAGGGATATTTAATTCATGCCAGTAATACTGAATAAAAAATCTAGGAAGAAAACACAAAAAGTTTTTTGTTGTTTTTGTTGTTGTTAATTTCTAACATAAATCGTAATTCAATTAAAATTATGGATACCTGGCTACAATCCTAGGTTAAGTTGCCTATAAATAAGCTCTACTGAACAAGACAGTACTTTTTTCTGAGCAAACATGACAAAAGATTTGAAGTATTTGTGACAAATCTATTTTACTAGAATTCAGGTTGCAATCAAGTGTGGATATGCATGTTTATGTGGAAGTTTTATTGGTTATGCTGCCTATGTCCAGGAAAATATGTCCAAGATCTAAACATTAGTAGCAATTACCTACTTTTATTAAGACTGAGATCATGGAGTATGTAATTTTGTATATCCCTTGTTTGTGCAAGTTCAGTAACAAGTTTTTCTCTCCCACTGTCTTCTCTTGTCTAGATGTTTTTCTGTCCTTCTGAAGTAGCAATCTTTAGATTTCAACACAAGAAAAATTCTCACAACATTTCATTCATTCTACATTTTAAACCTTAAAAAAAAGATAGAAATGTCTGTTTAAATGTTTATTTAGGATACTTATATTGGAGCCACAGGAATGAATATGCTTCACAAATAAACTATTTTCTACTGGCAGATACATCTCAACCAGTTTTTTAAAATCCTACAGTCCTATTCACATTTACACTATTAGAATGATTCAAAAGACATACACAGTTAGAAAAGAGTCATGGAAGATTATTTCAATATATGATTATTGTGGCAAGATTATTATATGCACAAGATGGAAAGATTCTGTACTACCCACCATGGAGAATGGTTGGTAAAATTGACAGAACTTGCTGAGATGGCCAAACTGACTTCTTTGATTAGAGAAAGGTCATTATTGACATTTATCAATGACTGGAAATCCCTTATGGACTTTTTGGGTAAAAAAGAAAATGATTTTGTGACTTATGGTTTTGATGATTAGAAATAATAGGTTATAGAAAGAAGGGAATTATGATGTAATCTTAGAGAAGTTTGATTAGAACTGTATGTATAACTGCCAAGAGGAAGATCAAAAGCCATTTCTTTATATTTCTTTTCATGTTTTCTGTACTTTTATTTTCTTTTTCTTTTTTCTATCTCCTTTTTTCTTTGCCTTTTCTTTTCCTTTCTTTTTTCTTTCACATTTTCTATACCCTTTTCTTTGAATGTATGTATTATATATGTAAAATCTTTTAATAAAAACTATTTTAAAAAAGAATGATCAAAAGACCCAAATCATTAATACTATTCTTTTTTTTAAGAGCCATCACACACTTTACTAAATAGTATTAAAGACCTCAAGCTATATCCTATACCCTAATTCTAAGCAACTGTTAAATGTGAGATAAACGTAACACAGAAATGGGTAACATGTGAATTCAAATGTTATTTATAAACATGAAGTTAAACAAGATTTTAAATGCCTTTGTACACTTCCCCCACATAAAAGCAATGGTAGTGAAAGAATAGTATGGCACCAAAAAAAAAAAATGTTTCCCTCCTGTACATTAATTTATGCATGGTAGTGAAAGACTTTTTCTAGTACTCACCAAACTTCGAGTGGATTAATTTATTTTAAAGGATACTCCATGTTTGCATCAAACCTGCAAGCCAAATTAAGGCTTGATCAGGGAACATGAAAGTTTTAAACCCAGGGTTATTAAAAGCTTAGCATCTACCAAATTGGCATCAAAATAAACATAGCTCTACTTCTATTACTAGGGTGGATCTAAAAGAATTCCAAGATTAACAAAGGCTTACTTAGAAAGCTTACAATTTTACTTATGCTTTGTTTTCAGGATCACCTTTTTAAAAGATTTCAGCAGAAAGCATGTGTAGAAGTAATAAATAATTGCATATACAAGCAAAATCAATAAAATTTACTCAACTAATGTGTTCAGTTTATGGTGCAGCAAGTTTAAACCAAACAGCAGCAATATGAAAAGAAAGAAAAGTAAAAATATAATGCTGCAATCAAATATTTCCTAAGAAGTGCACAACTTCATACAATTTATTCTGGTTATATAGGCTGCAAATGTTGACAAGAAAAGGCTGCATATATCTGAACCAAAGCACAAGGATATCGGAGCTACCACTGGGAAATTTATACAGTATGTCTATTTGGGCTCTGGCAAGGTTTAAACTGTTTTTGTATACTTTACCTTGAAGAACCATGCTGCAGGTACATCCCCAAAAACGTGTGGAGATAGGACAAGCATTACATTTAATTCAATTAAATTTAACTAACATTATGTTACATGAAGTACAGTTAAAATTACTAACCATTTAAAAAAATTGTTTGTCTTTTCTGTCATACAGCTCAATGGCATCTTCTAGGGGTATTCTGGGGGCTGCACCAAAGCACTGGGCCCTGCAGGTTGGACCTTTCAATGATCTATCTACATTTCCCCAGTTAAACCAATGATCACTCTAACACCTACCCTCCAGGCTCTCAATCATCAAAGATTTTTCACAGACTTCATATGTGAGATACTTCAAATTGGAAATGCCCTGGACTGAATTTGGGAATTTACTTTTTATTTATAGAATCAGACTGGCTACTAATACTCTGATCCCTCTGCATCAGAGTGACTTCATACATTAGTTTCCTACATGAGCACTTCCTTCCACCTGAAAAGTAAGAGACAACTGAGGACTGCAGAAACACATATTGCTATGTAAACGTTGGCTGGAAAGAGGCAACCATGACATTTTTTTCATCTAATCAACAGAAACAAGGCCTGAAAGTCCTTCTCCCCCACACCCTGGACTCTTAACAGAATTATCAGTCAGGGCCACAGAGCTCCACTTCATCTTTGGTCCAGGAAAGAGGGGCTGTGCTGCTTTTAAAAGACCCCCCTTGCCACGCCAAGGGTCCCCCTGAGTTGTTGACAAAGGGAGAAGGCTGATCGGAAGAAAGGTGTGGTGTCATTCCACCCAGCACCCTCTCCTTCGTTTCCCCAGCAGCCATATGGCCAGGGATAACTATCCAGGCCCACCAAGTATGTCAAAGAGAGAACGAGGGAGCCAAGGGACGACAAAAAGGGATGAAGCCTCGGTTGAAGGGAGGCAGGCAAAGGGGGATACCGTTTGGAGAGAAGGGGCGGCCCTGCTCGAAACGGACGGTTTGTGAGCGCGGGCCGGGGTGCATGTGTGTGGGGAAGACAAAATGAAGCCCAGACAAAGCCGGGCGCCTAGTTCTGCACCATTAAGGAAAGTGCGGCTCCGGGCCTTCCCAAAGGGGCTTCCCCGAAGGCAAGGGGCAGTTAGGTAAGAGAAGGCAGGGAGGCCCGTGGCCGCGCCGCCCGGCTCACCTCCTGGAAGGGGCCCACGGGAATCCCCCTCGCGGCTCCGCTCCTGCCCTCAGGGTCTCCTCTCAGACAATAAGGCCGGCGCACGCGAGCGAGCGCACCAGGGCCACGGACGGAGTTGGTTCCTGCGCCCGGCCGACTCCGATTCCACGGCGACCCTCCCGGGTCCGGCCACGGGGGTGGGGTGACGAAAGAGCTCCGTCCCCAGCGGAAGGATTTCAACGGGCGGGGAGCGTCCCTGCCACGGCGGTGGCGGAAAGGAGTCC